ATGTCTGACCCGACCTGACCTTATCAGGTCGGGTCAAGTCAATTACCCGATCCGACCCGACCTGTTCGGAGCTCTAACTAATCCTAGTACATATTTATGGGTATGTAAAAAAGGCCATCAATAGGAAGCGTCATATAAAAATATGAAACAAAATTATAGATAGTGCAACATTTGTCCTAATGTATCAGAAAGAACATATCGAGGATTTATTACATAAAAAATTTCCGCTCTGAAAACCTAAATTCTTAGAGGGATTAAATCTAGATAGTTATAATGAAGAATTAAGCTTGACTTTTAAATACAGTGGTAATCAACATTATCAAATTGTACCTTTTTTCACCTGCAAGGACAGATGAATCTAGATGCACAAATCTGACATGATTAGAAAAAGAAGGCGTTATGTTACAGAGAAGGAGTAATACTTATTACAATTCCCATTGCACTGTTGACTTAGAAACTTTTATAAGGAATGCCTTGTACACCTTCAATATCTTCAGTTATCTCCTAATACTCACCTAAGAGGCAACATAGGCTCTTTCTTAATATGCATTAATTGTTCTCTTACAAAGGGACGCTGAAATTCTGATTCATCTAAATAATATAAAACAGGCATCAGAGAATTCTTTCCAATAATGATTCTTCAGATTTTATGTAGGCTAGGAGACCATATTAGATCTGTTATTCTGTGCTATTCAAAGAATCATTTTCTCATTTTCCAGAAGTAAGCAAAAAACGGATAGTAGTACCCTTTGGTAGTTGTGGTTTATCAACACCTATTGGATGATTATATTTTACCAATGGCTTGGAATACACTCGCTCAAGTTTTTTGGCATCATTAGGACTCATTCTAATTAATTGAGTTGGGTATCATTTATATTGTCAACAATTCTTCTTGCAAATCATTTATATTCCCTACAATATTTACCAATAGATAGGAGAAACTCTATTGAATACTGATTTTTAAAAACTCTAAACTTGAATAATCCAGCATAATGATCAATTATAGCCAAGCTTGTGTGTCTGAAATGTGCTATAATCCTTTGAATGTTAATATTATGTTCATCCATTATTAATGTTACACTTCCCATAAACTCACGACCTTGATCACATTATAATTTTCGAAGCCAGTTGAGAGGATTGTCAAAATTATTATATGACTCTTAAAAGCTTCTGCAACTTCTTCACTACTTTTTGATGTTAAAAAAATGAAATCTTTAAATCTAGTCACACAGTCTATAATCAATAGCACATAGTAATATATTGGTCTATTATTCAGCAAATTTATATCTACATCTTCATCATATAGTATTTTGATCAAATCACATTGGTGTACAGTATTTGGCTTTGTGATTTTAGATTAACTGGCATAAGGTATATACTTTGGTGAAGGATGAAAAATTTGATACATTGCTTACCTATCAAGTTATTTTTTTACATTAATAAATGAAAAGCTATAGCCAGCTTTTTTACAAGCATCTTATAATCACTTAGCATTTTGATACAGACCTTTAGGATGATAATATAGTTTTTACAAGGCAAGATGCCAGTCTAAATTATGAGCTTTTTGAGAATCGATATTAATCATAGATATTTGTTTTGCTATAATTTGGTCTAAGTCTCGCATTTTTTAAGGATCGATATAAATAACCAGTTCTCCCATTTCAACTTTTTTATAATTACGAAAAAAAGTTAGTATCTATGAAGTTAAATTTTACTTATTTGCTAAGGCATTCTTTTCCTTGCGCTTCTGCCTAACTTTTATCTCCTTCTGCAGATTTAGTAGAGTGTCAAACCTTAGGCAGATTGCAAGGGGATCATCTTTTGGCCTAGTGAGATCAAATACAATAAATTCATCTCTTCTAAGGTAGCTATTAATAACAATAGATGCATTTTTCACATCATCAGTATAACAATCAGCTATCTTGAACACATCTTGTTAGCTACCACTACTGTTATACATTACTAGATGAAAGATATTCTCACGAATGAATATAGGGACTTTATGGTATTTTTGGATTATATATATACTTGAAATATTTTGATGATGTCTATTCCCAAAAAATTGATCAATTTGATTTTGCAAATATTTGGGGGCTAAGCACAGATCCTCGAAAATAATTACTATGCTTCTTTCAGGTGAGAATGCTCTTGTATTAGGAATTCTTTCAGGTGAAATGTACTTGAAAATAATATTCTTATAGAAAGATGCTTTTGGATCCTTTGAAATCATATTATATATAAACCTCACACATATCTATTTTAGCTCATTAGAATAATACCCACAAACAATTAGATTATCATATTTAATATAACGAAACCCATCTTTTTTTCCTCTTTGCACATTTTCATCCTTATCACCAAGAACAAGATTCGCAAGTAAATTAGTCTTACTTGAACCACTTTTTCCAGTAGTCAACATGCTGAAAGTCCATGTCATCACCGGATGGCTAATATTTTGGAATGATTTATACTTTGTGACTTCATCCATATCTAAAAGACGAAGTTTCATAGGTGGTAATTCTTTCTTTCGGTTCTTCTGCGTATCAGATTGGGAATTCATAACTATGATTTCTATTTAAGGGTATTTTATAATTTGAAAGATTTTTTTCTTCATTGATAAGTAAAATAAAAGAATATAAATAAGATAATATATGCTATAGAAAGTATATGATTAGTAATATCATTACGAGAAAGATTGCAAACCAAAAAAAGTCAGAATTGGATAATTTCAGGATTATTTTAGGACTAGTGATGCTATTATCTTTCTCTAGTTCGCTAATACTTCCAATCACTTTAGACTCGCTAAATGTTTTGGGATCTGCTTAGCTAAACGAGTATTATTTAGAATCACTTCTTGAAGGAGGATGTCTTTCTCTATTAATGCTTTTTGCGCTATGGCTAAATTATCTTTTATTTGCACCAATTCATCTTTTTTTGATTAGTGTATTTTCTAAATCTCTTTTTTTTCAAATCTAGGTCAATATTTTTAGTGAATAGTTCTGCATTTTTCAGTTTCCATTTATGTCTAAGAGATTCCATTTCTAACAACTCCTCCTGTGTTAAAGAAAGATCACACTCTAATTCCTCAGTCCTAATTTGGTGAACCTGTATCACTTCCTTCATCTTGAATTGGAGGGCTTGCATCTCCTTTGATTTTATAGAGATTTTGCTTTCAACGTCTGCAAGAGAAATATTCTTGTGAGTAATCTGAAGTATAAGCTCATTTTCTCTGAATGCAATTGTCTTATTTCTTCTTCAAATTGATATACCCAATCAGAAAGTTTTTTTTCTTTTTTGAATTTATCAAAGTCATCCTGCATACGCTTGTTTTCTCTATCTAAGATATCATAGTTATTCACAAACTAGCTACCTAAATAAATAGCTACTTCATGATCTTTTTTTGTACAAGAAAGTTACTCTTCAAGATCTATTTGACTGGGAGAATAATAATTAGCTGGAGTATCTCCAAGTTTATATTACCATTATCCAGATCTTTTAAGATATAGATCTGAGACATTTTATTGGTATTTTTTTACTTTAGGTGAAAAAAATACAGCCTGAACTTTAATCTTGTAAAGAAGCGGATTATTTTTGATGAATCTAATGCCTATTGATACTCATTGAAAAAAAATCACTAGTGTATACTGAAAGGCGCTGAGATACATTTATACTTATTGATGCACACTGAAAGAGAATACTGATATGCATTGAAGGATACCAATATGTATTGAAGGATACTGAAATGTATTAAAAAATACCGACTCATATTGAAAGGCATCAGTATGTATTGAATTATCAGAAATATTGATACATATTGAAAAGTATTGAAAAAATTATTGGTAGTTTTTTGCTTATATATTTTGACTAAAAAATAGTTATCCATCTCCATGAAAAATTTTATCAATCCAATACAACCCCATTAATAAAAGCTGATATCAAAGAAATTAGAGAATCCAGAGGCAGGATACCAATGCATCAAAAAAAATGACTGAAAAATTCCATGTTGGTGCTCGACGTATTAATGAAATATGGAACAATAGTGAATATCTCTAATAAGAGCTTATTTTATCTTCCTCTGATCAGCTGCTTTGGATAAAAATTCCCAAACTGATAAGACAGAACAGACTCTTGAAGTAGTATCAGAAGTATCCCTTCCGGCTACAGAGATTCCAAAAAAGAATAGTCAAAAAAGAAGGTTAAAATAGATGAGAAGCCGGTTACTGAAGCAAGCAGTATAGGGAAAAAATAACAAAAATGATGTGGCCTCTTCCGCTGATAATTTGTCTGATACATCCTGAGAAGACAGGTAGTATTCTCTTCTTGAAAATCTAGTTAATCGTGGTAAAAATCTTAAGGGTTTAACAGCTAATATCACTTCCCTTATATAAGAATTCACATGTATTAGCAAGAAATTTACTGGTACTTAAGGCCAAATAGAGCATTTCTTCAGTCTTTATGAAGTGCTTTTCAAGCTCTTCACACTTTTTTTTAAGTCTCTCTAAATAGTCAAATTAGAAGAATCAGATAAAACCTGAGAGCTAAGAAATATTTCGTATGATGATTCCTGATTCTCTTTTGGCAAATCCTTGACTATCAGAGCCTTGCTAAAAGTTGGAATAATATATTCCTTTTTATGTAACTTTATGCGGAACTGGTTTTTATTTGGTTTAGAGACATTTTGAACCTTTCGAATGTTTGACATACCAAAAAATAGCATTGGTTCTATTTCACCATTATCAATATGAACAAAATTTTTAATAACTGTGATCGTTTTACCTTCTTTATCCTTTAAGGTAACTGAAAGTCTGTAAACCATCCTAATGAATCAGTGATATGTTTAGAAATTCCCTTTATGACAAATTAGATGATTTATCAGCTTTTCATCAAAGTGTCTTAATTGCTGGTCATTTAAATCACCTAACTCACTGCTGGTTTCTAAAAAAGATTCAAAAATAGTTAAATCATTTATATTAGTATTCATATATTATAAAGATGACAACCACTCATCTGATTTTTTCAATTCCTCCTTCTGAGCCTTTCAAGATAAGCACATTTTTCATATTGATAATGAGAGCTTAAACAATAGCTGATCATATATTTCAGGTTGGTTAGTTACTGGATCGAAAGAAGGAATAGCAGAGTTACCATATAAGCTTTTATTTACTAGCGACTGTTTTTTTTCTGATGCATAATACAGCTCATTATCTGCTTTGTCATAACCATCCCTATTATTTTTCTCACCATCTGAATCAGAAGAAACTATTGGTTTAAGAGGCATAAATAAGACTGAGTGAAATTAGATTGAGCTATCAGTCTATTGAACAACTTCCTTTGCTATAGCCTGTTCTCCCACAAATTTCATATTTTTGTATGTATGCTATTTTCTAAAATAGATCAGTTAACTGGTTTACATTATTTGAGTTTCCTCAAATCCTTCTTCAATCCTATCAAATCTAGTAGAATTATTATTTCACTGTGAACGAGGTCTTTAAAAAGGCTTTACAGAATAATCTGAGTCTAAATCTTCCTTATTAAGTAGACCTACTTCTTTTAAATATTTGGCTATATAATAATTTTTGAAACCTTCATCTGTTTTCAATGAAGATGGTGGACCTCTCAGCTATCTAACTGGTTCAACAGTTTGTGAAGTAGATACTTACTGAGCCATTTGGTATTGAAATGAAATTCTGACGAAAATTTTAGATTTCTTATCAGTAAAGATGGTACAGCAATTGATTTCAAATTTACAAAATGCTGTAACATAAGTTAAAATTAGTTGCAATATATGTTACAACATTATAAGTTGCAACATATATAGGTTAAAATTTATTGCAACATAAGTTGCAACATTAAAAGTTGCAACATATTAATTACAGTTCCTATCTTTACTTATCAGTATGGTAATATTCAGGATTTTGTGGCTATTTTAACATGTCGGTCCATTTAACCTCCCATATCTAATCTCTAATGATTATATAGCCTTGTTGATATCATAATTTCAAAGAAAGTATGAATGCTATATTTGTTAATCTTAAAGGTAATTGGACTTCTTTTTCTGATATCAACTCCAAATCATTTGATCTAAAATTCCAATATTTTCGAGTAGAAATTCTTCTTAAAAACTTCATATCATCGGGAGTACCATCATACCTCGCCATTTCCCAAACCTGTTTTGCCAATGATTTGGGACTCTTCTTATAATTTCTATAAGCTTGCTGGATAATGATTGCATAGAAATTTTCAAATTGATAGTTATATTGTCTCACAATCAAAAATCTCTAAGAGCGTTTCATTGATCTTCCTGAACTTCTCGAAAAATACTTTACTAAAAATAGTTACATATTAGAGGATCAAACCCAGAATAGATACATTACAATTTTATTCTGCAGGTGATACATTCCACAATTTTACTAGGTGATCATGCATGCAAATTATATAGCTATTCATTACGCAAAAAAAGTATAAGTTATACATTGCGCCTTTAGCTAAATGATATTAATCTTCAGTTAAAAGTAATAGTCTATAATTAAGATATTACTTAGAATCAGTTAGTTAAACAAATGTAATTTTTATTCTATCTCTTAATCTTAATGCGGGCTAATTAAGATAGTTTATAGATGGTAATAAGTTATTTTGTTTTACATATCGATATGAGATAAATATTTTGTTTATATTACTCTCTTTTGATCTATCAATCTGTGAAAGATAGAGTGGTTGTATCTTTTGGCTATTACTCATGATCTGATGGAATTCCTTCTGTTTTCAAATATTCAAAAAGGCATGTTTCTGTCTAATATGCCTAATCCTTCTGATAATATTTTCTAAACAAAAACATAACTATATAATTTATTATCAGCATGAAAACCAAATTTATTTAGGATGTAATTATTATCAGTTAAAACGATATATGGGTTTCTGCGTCCGAGTTTACTAAATTGCATTATTTGATAGAAACTCATCTACTAATCCAATAGGATCAGCTGTTTTATTTTCATATATTCTTTGAAATTTAATTTGCGAAACTTGTTTCCGATACAAGCAGTAGCCCAATGTTGGTACATATCACAATGTGATTCATTAAAAGAAATATATCAGAATTTCTCAGTTTTAAACTTACCTTTCATATAATTATAAATATATCTTTTACCTATTGATAAGCTTTCTATTCTAAGATATACCAGCTGATTGCAAGAATAGCAAATTACCATTTCACATTTCGGTAGGTATGTTTGTTCATCAACAAGATGTGGCAATGCTTTATGAGCATAAAAGCAATCTTCCTCACCATATGTATAAGATTTTTTATTTCAAAAATATATTAGGCAATTCCAGATCCTGATTTTCCACTCAGTTGGAGTTTCACCATTTTTAATATGATGCATACCAATATATTCAACATACTCTTCATAAGTATCTTCAAAACCTGTTTGATGACTGAATGACATAATAATTATACTTGATTATAACTATTTATTGATTTATAGCAATTTACACACGATTTAGTAAATTTTTACCAAGTTATACTATCCCTTAGATTGTAGGATTTTGCAGACAAATTTGCCTGCTTATTTACTATAAATTCTCTTCTGATTTATTTTTATAAATAATTAATATTTTTAAAAAATTTTTTTTTTAAATTAATTATATAAATATGTAATATATTATAATAAGT